TAAAAACTATTCTTAAGAGAGGAGGCTTCAGACTTCAGAAATGGATATCAAATAGTGCTGATTTGTTAAGGTCATTAGAACCAAGTGAAATATCAACAAGAGCTAGCTTGAATATTAAAATCGATGGCACAGTAAAGGCACTCGGACTGACATGGAATTTAGGCGAAGATGATTTTCAATACACAGTGACTTTACCGCCCGTTCTAAGGAACGCCACTAAACGTAATATATTAGCAGATATACAAAGGCTGTGTGATCCCTTAGGATGGATAGCACCCGTAATTATCAAGGCTAAAATACTTATTCAAAGGCAATGGTTAGTAGGAGTAAACTGAGATGACAATATAAACGAAGAATTACGGAAAGAGTGGCTGACAATACGTTATGATCTAGATAATGTCAATCAAATGCGAATGAAACGTTGGATTTATACGAAAACCGCTAATAAAGAAATCAAAATATATGGAAGACATTTGTCGCAAATCGTGTTGTTGAGATAATGGAGAATGTTAAAAATGGCCAATGGTACCACGTGAAAACTCAAGACAATCCAGCGGATGTTGCGTCAAGAGGTTCCTATGCTCAAGTTCTTCTCACAAACCAGTTATGATGGCATGGACCACCATGGTTGTTACAGAAAGAAATAATACTTTCAAGACCTAACATAGTTTCAACAAAATTGGATAAAAAATTAATTAAAATAAATTTAAATGTGACAGAAATAAAAAACCGGCCAAGAGCGTGTCGGGCTACGCTCAGTGTAGGGTTCCGTAGTTTCCTGTCTGTCACAATAAGTGTTCCCACTTGTGAGTTTAAAGGTGGCTATCCATTATGTTCGCACTCCAGCAGCGCTCCGCGCTCCTGCAACTGCTCCCGATAGTGGGTACTGTTGTTTCCATCCAAGTTCAAAATGATTTTCCTAGAAAGTTCTTATCAGATTTTTTTTTACTTTTCAGATTTTTTTCATATTTTCTAAAGTTATGGTTCAAAAGTTAGAGGGCACACATTGTTTTTTACTTTTGGAGCGATTATTTTCGAAATTATTGACATTATCAAAAAATGATTTTAGTAAAACCCTATTCATTTTTAAATACCTTTCCAACAATATATCACACGTTAGGGTTGAAATTAAAAAAAAGTCACTTCCCACTTTACTTATAGGGTGGCTACCCTAATAAAACATTTTTTTTCCAATTTTTATTTTACCACTTTGTCGGCGTGATTGATACACATATTGGTACCAAATTTCAGCTTTCTAGTGCTAACGGTCACAGAGATTAAGCGAAGACAGACAGACATGGCGAAACTATAAGGGTTCCTAGTTGACTACGGAACCCTAAAAATTACCATACAAACCAATTTTTGAACTTTGAGTGTTTTGACTCATTTGAAGAACTTCTTAAGATAATTGTATATAGCAGACGATTTTTAAATTTCAAAAGGCGACAGTACAATGAAAGCGGCATTACAACTGAAGAATTACAACAAGCTGTGATTCTTAGAGTAGGAGGAAGATTACGGCATGTAATTATTAGTGAAGAGAGTAAATTTCCAATTATTTTAGACGCTAAATCTTCACTGACAGCACTCATTGTAGCTGACGCTCATAAAAAGACGCTGCACGGTGGAGTACAATTAATGTTAACATACTTAAGAACAAAGTACTGGATTATAAGGGCGAAAGGTGTAATAAAATCTCATATTTCTAAATGTCTGTTAAGTGCTAAAATTAGAGCCAAGGCAAAAGGACAAATAATGGGTGATCTGGGTGATGGGTGAAATAGTGGCGTAGACTTTGCCGGGCCAATCCAAAATACTTATGTCAAAGGGGAGAGATAAGTAAAGCTTACATAGCTATTTTTATATGTATGTCTGTTAAAGCCATCCATCTTGAACTTGTAAGCGATTCAACTTCAGAAACTTTTATTGGGGCTTTTAGGCGTTTTGTATCACGGAGAGGACGTTGCGCTCACCTGTGGAGTGACCAAGGCAGAACTTTCATAGCAGCAAACAGAGAATTATCGAAAGGTTTGAATGAAGCTAATATAAATATAAAAAATCAAATTACAAGCGCCTTGGCCTTGGCTTCATTCCACCCTATAGCCCTAATTGGATGGGAAGCGGGGGTTAAATCCATGAAAGGACATTTGAAGAGAGTCCTGACGAAGAATTTAACATATGAAGAGATATCTACTCTTTTGTGCCAGATTGAAGCGTGCCTAAATTCTCGGCCCTTAACACCTATTGATCAATCTGATGTAGACAATATAAGCCCTTTAACACCAGGCCATTTTTTGATCGGTGAAGGTCCTATTTCTGTCCCAGCTCCAGACTTATGTGATGCAAAAATCAGCCACAAGCACGTTGGCGATACACTCAAAAACTCTTAGGTGACTTTTGGCATCGATGGCAGCATGAATATCTCACAAGGTTGCAAAAAAGACCAAAGTGGCTTAAAAAGGAACGGGAATTTGCTATCAAAGAAATTGTTCTCATTAAGCAAGATAAAATGCCGCCTGGAAAGTGGATGCTGGGTCGCATACTTGCCTGGATTAGATGGAGTCACAAGAGTTTACAGTCTAAAGTGCGGTGATAGTGTTATTAAAAGAAGTGTGTTAAAACTGTGTCATTTGCCTATTGATTATAATTGAGTTTTATTCATGTTTATTTTTTAATTGTTTGTTAATGTATAACATTTGAATAACTATGTCAAAATATTTTTGTACTATTACATATTATAGATTGTAGATATAATGAACTTATAAGAAGGAACATGCCCTTTTTGGCGGGCGGTATGTTGTATTGTACGCGTAAAGTCAAATCACACTTTGCATTATATTTGTCACAGTCTGCAATAAACAATTAGACAGTGAATACGTTGTTTACCTCTCTTAAGTGACATATAAGCAAGTTTGACCTGTCCGTATAACAAGATAAAGCACAAACACATACCACTAGAATGTTATATTATGAAAAAAGTTTTTATTTGGATAGTCTAATCTTTAAGAGAGCGCATAAAAGATTATAACTTTCAATATTGATACCACTCTATCGTTGCGAAAGCGAAATAAAGTTCAATAAAGATGTTACATCCGGTTATGCTGTAATTTTATATTTACTCCCTCAAAGGATTTTTTGTTCCTACATTGAGACGGTTTCTGAGTACGCAAAGAGTTCCTGCGCTGAGGGCCACGGGTTCCAATCCCGCACGGAAGAAATATTTGTATTGCCTACAAATAATAGTTCCGGGTCTGGGTGTTTGTCTTTGTGAAATTCATGTATGTTAACTGTCCCCACAATATAGGTGAAAATCCTAGTTTGGTAGATAACTTTTTTACATTATAAAAAAATAATCATTCCGTAGGAGCCAAAACAGTAGGAACAAAACAGGAGATGGGCAGCAACGTCTTCCTAATAACGCCTCGAAATAAACTGTGGATACTTTGGCAAATATAAGGCAATCTATGAAAGAAGCTTATGCTCAGCGGTGGAATTCAATAGGTTGTAACCGTTAATCTCAGTATGTGACGGACTTGATCATGGTCGCTTAGTGTCTTTGAGGTGGCGTTTTTTTTTTTTTAATAGGATAGGGTGACGAACGAGCACACAGTCCACCTGGTGGTAAGCGATTGCTGTGGCCCATAGACATCTACATATATCTTCGATCACGAATCAAAATGTTGTAATTTAGGTGCTATTTTACGCTTGTTTATTCTGTGAGAGCGGGGTCCCATCCTACCTCATATAAGTCAATCCATTCGTGCTACAACCATAATATAGCTATAGCGTGGCTATCACATATAATAAATAAATACCACGTATATACTATAGTATAGAATATCAACTTAAAAAAAAATACAAAAAGAGGACACGTGATGATTTTCTTTCGCCATTTCTTCTCCCTGCGCCGGATTTTCTTACGTCGAAGAAATAAAGACATTTTATTTCATTTCCGCTCAATTTCCTCATGATTTAACTCTTCTTCTTTAGCCCGTAATAGTCCACTGTTGGACAAGAGCCTCTTCCGGTGTAAGAAGGATTCGTCACATTTAGCTGATGTCCGTGTCCGTGTCCGACCGTCAAATGGTCCCAATACCAGGTACACAATTGACACTGCTGCATATCGCCAGTTTAGTTACTTATCTAATCTATCTAACAAATATGTACGTGAGATAATTACGACGGTTTGAAAAAAGTGTTGTAAAAATATGAGATTTTCTGGAGTTCCCACGGTCGTTTCTTAAGACACCCTCGGGCCGTAATGGGGTAATAGATAAGATAATTACGTATATTTAGTAAATATTTATATATAAATGTTAGATCACACTGCTCACAGGTTTTCGTTTGTCTTTAAACAATATATCGCCCAGTCTTCTTAGGGTATTCAGTGTGTCAACGACATTAGCAACATTGTATAGTGTTCAGTAGCATTCTAATTGGACATTGGAAATCCAATTAGGAAGTTACGGAAGGGCCTCCAAAAGTACATTAAAATAGTATTTCAATGTAACCAACACTCTCAAACGTAAATCTTGAATGTTTAGCGACTCTGGACACTTTGATAAACAATTATTTATTTTATACATGAAAGCCATGCATGTATTTATGCAAATAATTAATTATTATTATTACAACAATAGTAGATTATTTTGCATTGATACATGCATGGCTTTCATGTAAATATTCGTTTCCGGTTGAAGTAATATAAAATATTCACGATAAAGATGTATCTTAGTCATGTACTTATGATCTAAGTTTGATAAAAGCAAAATGTTGCAGCATATAATTTAATCTTTAGATAATGATTTGCTAACATCAATTACCTAATACACATGCCAGATATAAGTACTTCCTTTTATATACAGATGCATTCAAATATCGCATATATTGTACAATATTAAATTAAAAAGGTAGGTGGTGGTAATTTGTGCTTTTTTATCAATGTTATATAAAATTACACAGGAAAACCATCTCATAATATTTTATTGTTTCAGATAACAATGAAGGCTATATATACAATTACAGCTGTGTTAGTAACTGTTGCAAATTGTGCTAATTTTAATCCTCGTCAAGATGCATTAGCGAACGCCTTGCAAAATATATTCTCTTCAGCCAATACAGAGAAGGCTATGAACATGATACAAATGGCAGCAAATCGACAAGTTCATAACCCTGCTCCATGTAAGGAAGAAAAAATAGTACCCATTGCAACAGCTCCACCTAATCGACAAATTGTACCTATTGGAGCCATGCAAAGACCGGCCCCACCCAATGCAGGGCAAGTTGTCAAGCAAGCACCCCCGAATATTCCATTAAATTTACAAAATCTGGCAGAATTGATTTCTTTAAATGCCATGGCGTCGCAAAATCCTGTCATGCCTAAATTTACGATGCCTAATATGCCAATAATTATTACAACAACAAGAGAAGTTCCTCAACCACCTATTAATAAAGAGGTTAGCTGCCCTTGTGCTTCACCAACTCCTTTAGTTAATCCATTTTGGCCTGCCGCATCTCCTGCCTCAGCTTGGGCTCCACCTGCATCGAGTTTATTACCTCCAGTTTCTCAACCAAGAGGTCATTTTTTGAGAAAAATACCCATTCCACCGCCAACTCTTTAGTTTTTGAGTATTTAGTTATTCTTATTTAAGTCTAGATTAGGTCAATAAATTATTAAATTAGTTATGCATTCCTAGGCAATAAATAATAACAATTTAATTTAATATTTTATTTCTACGCACAACTCACTTTGTTTTATACTATTAGAAATAGGTCGATAGCAAAATATTATACATTTTATTGATATAACCACGTTTATATCAGACGATTATGCAGTTATACATGGCAATAAAGAAATATTACTAACTTATGAAAATATTGTGAAAAATAGATTTAACAATACTATTAAAGATAAGAATATAGTATTTATAAGGTCAAATAATTTATAATTCATACATTATTGGGATTGACTTTTTAAAATATAAACAAAAATGATAGTAAAGTTCATAGCGTTTATAACTGTTATTAGTCAAGTTAGTATATACGCACATGTTTAGTATAAAAGTATTATATTTACGCAAATATTAAATACTTATTACAAAAAACTAACATTTGATATTTTTATTCCAGGTGAATAGCCAATTCTATCAAGTTACCCTGCCATGTCTTCAAGAAGGTATGTTCAAATCAAACCCAACCTTTGCAGTTTCACCAAGGTTTCTCCAAGCTCCGAAGCCACCTCAACAGAGTTTAGGAAATACTAACGTAATTTTTTCAAGCCAACCCTGTACTCGGCCTACAGAATATACAATAACTAGTCCCACATATTTGCCCCAAAGTATGCCTCTACCTATTGCAACCCCAGCGCCAGCACCTTGTTGTCCTCCTTCACCAAGTATAGAAGTATGCTTGCCGGAAGTGGAACCAGTGTTTGATTTTACTTTGGGATGCTTAGATCCTATATTAAAATGTTACGGTATGTTAAATGAAGTACCTGCTGCATCACCAGTTCCTCCAATTTCACCACCATGTTCCTTAATTTCTTCACCGACGTTACCTTCACAGTGTTCGTGCCACTTCCTAAGGAAAATATCTATTCCCCCACCTTTCATATAAATAAGTTTAATATTATGTTTAGTTCATTTTGATTATTTATGTGCCAATATAATATGTAATGAAAAATACGATGAAGTTTGTAAATTAATATAACTTAATAATATTTTCATCTTTTATTTTTATTTGAAAACCTTACTAACTTTATTACATAATTAAATTAAGTTTGATTAAGTAGTCTAATTATTGAGTATTGTTACGCGCTAAAGTCGACGATACACTAGCGCCATCTAGTGTCAGGAACGAGAGCGAGGGGAGCTTTGCAGTGAATGACATCACAACCGACAGCGCCATCCGAAGAAACTAAGTTTCTAGAAAATCTATACTCGGACTCTCGGTACCTTACGCGTGTTTGCTTGAACATTCTGGATATTTGCTAATTTAAATAAGTAGGCGCTGCAAGGTGCGGGGGAGGCAGTGTTGATTTGGGCGAAACAAGCGAAGTTTCGGGCGGAATTAAGTGAATTAGTGTGTTTAATTATTAGTGTTTTAACTTTAATTTGTGTGAAGTAAATTAAAGTGTTAATTTAGGTAATTTTATCGGCAATTTTTATTGTCACGAACCTCAAGCTCGTAACAATTGGTGTCAGAAGTGGGATAAAATAATGCCGATTTTACCTAAGGAGGAAACGGAGGGTGTCCGTACCCGAAGTCAACGCCAACAGGAGACGGACCAGAGGAGATTTGGTGGTGCAACGCCGCAGATGTCTGAGGGCCAGCCGCCGGCCACGGAAGCCGGTCCGTCAGCAGCTTCTACGTCTGTGGCACCTGACTTAGGTGCTCTGATGGTGATGCTGCAGCAGCTGCGGGGCGGAGCGGCCGAGCAGGAGGAACAGGCCCGCCGAAAGAGCAGCACGAGGAACAGGCCCGCCGACACGAGGAACAGGCCCGCCGACAGGAGGAACAGATGCTCCTCATGAAGGACCTTCACGCTACCTTCGGAAAGGAGATAAAGGAGGTGAAGGATAGGGTTGCTCACCATGACAACCGCCTGTCGGAAGCTGAAAACCGAATCGAGAAAGCTGAAACCCGAATCGACCAAGTAAAAAATCGGGTTGACAACGTAATGGCTGACATGAAGAAATCACTGGACGAACTCAAACTTGGAGATGGAGCTACAGCTCCCGTAGTAGCTACAACACCTTCGCTACGTGGGTTCAAGGTGCCACCGTTCGACGGTACCTCTTCCTGGTCAGCCTACAAAATCCAGTTCGAGGCTGTTATAAAGGCGAACGGCTGGAATAAAAGTCAGGCCATGACTGCTCTCACACTAGGCCTGCGCGACCAGGCCTTAACAGTTCTGGAAGCTCTCGGCGAGGAAGTGACTTATGAGCAACTCCTTGAGGCATTGGAGGCGAGGTATGGCGACGCTCACCTGGAACACGTCTTTCGTGCGCAGCTTAAAGATCGCGTGCAGAGCATCAACGAAAACCTGCAGCAGTGGGCTCTAGAGGTGGAGAAGCTGGTGCGAAAAGCATACCGGTCTGTACCTGCGCTCATTGAAGGGAACCTGGTGCAGACATTTATCGACGGCATCCGCGACCTGGAAGTCAGAGCTGCTGTGAGGCTCGGGCACCACGAGACGCTTAAGGACGCCTTGGCCCATGCACTGGAGGTAGAAGCCGTGCGGCAGGATCATCGTTCCCATCGCGTCAGGGAGGTTGCAGCCGCTACAGTTCGCGACCGCAACAAAGGATACAGCCAAAGGTGCTATGGCTGTGGGGAAAAGGGCCATCTTCGATCCAGCTGCCCTAAACGAACCGTGGAAAGGAGAGTTGATCGATCTCGAGAGGGTAGTGCAGCTAACGGCACTGCCTGGCGGCGACAGGATCATCGTTCACCTCACGCTAGGGAGGTTACAGCAGTTACGGTTCGCGACCACAATAAAAGATACAGCCCTAGGTGCTATGGCTGTGGGGAAAGGGGCCATCTTCGGTCCAGCTGCCCTAAGCACACCCTAGGAAGGGAAGGTGAACGGTCTCAGAAAGGAAGTGCGGCTAACAGCACCGCCCAGCAGCAGCAGGAATACGACTTTACTATCAGACACTGCAGCGGGAAATCTCACGGCAACGCAGATGCATTGTCAAGAAGACCTTGTCCTGAAGATTGCAACCATTGTAGTAGGCAAAAGAGTAAGGAGGTGGTATCCGTGAGGATGCTCAGGACGGACCACCTCAGCAACGAATGGAAGGACAACCTACGACATGCACAGCAGGAAGATCCGGACATCAAGCCGATTCTGGGATGGATGAAGGCCCGTGCTACCAAGCCTAAGTGGAGGGACGTCTCAGCGATGAGTTCAACCACGAAAAGCTATTGGGCCCGGTGGGACAGCTTGCTGATTCAGGATGGAGTCCTGTGCCGTAAATGGGACAATGGTCGAAGAGACAGCTGTCGTTTGCAAATGGTTGTCCCTAAAGCTAAAGTGCCGAATGTTCTACAGTTGTGCCATAATGGTCGTTCAAGAGTCCATCTGGGAGTTAAACTAACTCTACTGAAGGTCCGAGAACAGTTTTACTCGGTCCATTATCGTGACGATGTCGAGGATTGGTGTCGTACATGTACAAGTTGTGCGGCCGTGCGGGGACCTCGGACACGTAGTAGAGGAGCACCGAAATTGTACAATGTTGGTGCACCACGGGATAGGACAGCCCTTGACATTGCGGAGCCGTTACAGAAAGGCGCAAGAGGGACTCCTAAGATCGTCCATGTGAATCGCTTGGCGCGTTATTATGGGGCCGATAATGCTCGGGACGAGCATGTCTTAGGAGGGGGCAGTGTTACGCGCTAAAGTCGACGATACACTAGCGCCATCTAGTGTCAGGAACGAGAGCGAGGGGAGCTTTGCAGTGATTGACATCACAACCGACAGCGCCATCCGAAGAAACTAAGTTTCTAGAAAATCTATACTCGGACTCTCGGTTCCTTACGCGTGTTTGCTTGAACATTCTGGATATTTGCTAATTTAAATAAGTAGGCGCTGCAAGGTGCGGGGGAGGCAGTGTTGATTTGGGCGAAACAAGCGAAGTTTCGGGCGGAATTAAGTGAATTAGTGTGTTTAATTATTAGTGTTTTAACTTTAATTTGTGTAAAGTAAATTAAAGTGTTAATTTAGGTAATTTTATCGGCAATTTTTATTGTCACGAACCTCAAGCTCGTAACAGTATTATAAATGCATTTATATTTAGTTTAATATTCGTTTACAACACAAAACGACATTGGTAGTTGCAATGTAAAAACAAAAATAAGATTTTCAATATAATATTATATTACATTATATAAACCGACTGTATAGAAATGAAAACAATAAAATGATAATCACAAACTTCTGTTGTCGGTGTTATTATGTGAAAAATATTCTTTTTAGTTATTTTAAGAAGGCTTCTATATTTTATTAAAAGATAAATTTTTTGACCCTTTTGAGTGGATTAAGAAATATTACAATCTCGAGTATAGTCTCAAAACCAACACTAAAATACTTCATTCATTGGGTGACAAACGAGTACACAGTCCGCCTGATGGTAAGTGAATGCTGTGGCCCATAGAGGTCTACATTTATCTTCAATTAAGAATCGAAATACAAATGTAGTGCCAGTAAAAAGGTTCTCCGGTTCTCTACACTCACCATACGAAACAAAGCAGCATTACGCTGCTATTTTACGCTGGTATTCTGTGAGAGCGTGGTCCTGCCCCGATCGAGCCGACCCATTCGTGCTAAACCATAATATAGCTTCAGAGTGGCGCTACCACGTAATTTACTCAAAAAAGAATTTTTTTTCGTCACGCTCGTATATCACTCCCATAATTACCGAATACAAAATAAAGAGGTTTTTATTAGGCTACAGAGTGTGATAAAGAAATAGAAATACATACTCTTGAAACATATTACCCTCCTTCTGGGCCAGTCGGGTAAAAACTTTATTAGAGGTGATTCGAAAAAAAAAACGGTCGGAACTGACGGGACAGAAAAGAAGTGGTCTTATGGAGACTGGAAAAATGCACTACAGAAGAAAATCTACAGGAGTTTTTAAAAAAAAATACTGGGAAACGAGTCAGAAATCGTTATTGAAAAATTAAAACCGAAAACTGAGCGAGAATACGCGTCGTTCAAGATTGGTGTTACGTTAAGCGAATATGACAAGCTTTGTGACCCAGAAGTTATGGCCAGTAAATGTAGAATTCAGTTAATGGATTTGGTTTCGCCGCTCAACCAAAACAAACAAATCGGAAACCGAGTAGACATTTTAACGTTTTTTACCAAAATGTCAGAGGACTGCGGACAAAGACCACATAATTTTTATCATTATTAGAATCATCAGGATCTGATATATTCGCTATTACTGAAACTGGCTTAAATGAAGCTATTCAAAACTCAGAATTCGTGCTCCCCGGATACCAAATATTACGATGTGACCGGGCAGATCGGCGCAAACAGGGAGGCGTACTTTTAGTGGCCACACAGCGGTTCGAGTTGCGACGAGTGACTGTGCCAGGTGATTTTTAATATTGACAGTCAAAAGTTTCAACTAATTTGTGCTGCTGTTTATATTCAGAATCATTTTTTATTTACTTGTTGCGCCGTGTATATACCGCCGCAGGCTGACGAGAACGAATATATGTTAATGTTTAGCATATTAGAAAAACTATGTGTAAAATATAAAACCAATTTAGTTATATTAGGGGACTTCAATATGTACTCTTGTAATAATAATATATCTAAGCATTACGAATATTTCATGGCCTTCTGTGAATTCACTCAGTGTAATGTGTTACCTAATTGTAACAATAGGCAGTTGGACCTCGTGCTGTGCAGTAGCGGCGGCGGACGAGGGCCTGCAGCCCGTGGACTCGTACCATCCACCGTTTGCCGTGCGCCTCGAGCTCGGCGCACGTGCGCCGCAGCTTCCCCCCGCAACCACTATACCTTCTGGATCGCCGTGTATACGATACTCGTGCTCACGATCCCCGATAACTCGGAAATTATGGAATTTTAATAAAGCCGA